GCAGTTCGACGTGCGTACCGTTTCACTCATGGGTCGAGAGAAACGGATATTTATTTATAGACGTATCTCCCGGGTCCTTGATTGCCGATGCGAACAAGACCGCGCGTGTTCATCTTATCAGCTCGCACTGCATTCCTCAGATGTGCACCTGACAGCAACACAACACATTCCTGTAATCCTATTACTCCCTTATGATTTCGTAGAAACGGGCCATTAGCTCTAACGTTGCAGAAGATATTAAATATCCTAGGTAGCACATATCCAAAATAGGAAGATACAAGTCGTCTTGAAGACACCTAACTTTAAGACATCTTTAAGATATCTTATAAAGGATGTCTCAATATATTTTTAAGATGTCTTATGTCACGATTTTGGACATGGCGCTGTCTGGGACTCGATATTCGAATATAGAGCGAAGGTCACATAATGAAGATATTTGTATAATCTCATCAAATATTTGTATTTAGACTTTAATTAGAAATTAATCATTACCAGTGGCTATTATTTTATTCAGAGAGGATGGAGTTAAAAGAAGTGTAAGTGAATTGACTATTTTTTACGCTCTAGATCAGAAGGGTTATCGCATAGAAGAAGTATGTACTCTGAAAGTCGATAAATTAAATTAATTAAATATGTGATGTAATCTTCGTATTGATTTCTTGGAAATTCCCTTTCTTGGAATTTCAGTCACAGCGTTAAATTCCTGCTTGTATCAAGATTAATATGCATCGATTGCATCTGATTGACACGCTGTTGGCACGATATACCAGACATTCGCTGATCGACGGATTTAATCACTCACCGTCCGAGCTCCGACTGGATGTCATAATCGTCCTTGAACTCGACACCTCGGCGTACCGTCACATCTCTATATGGGAAACTGGGCTCGATCTCTGAAAACAGACGTGCGATAGTGAGAAGAATGGAATGCGGGGGTGAGTAGGTGTTTGGCATTCAATTTCATCGCCAGACGACGGTTATATCTTGAATTGTCTTTCAAATGAAAAGAGGCAGAAGATAGCTTTAAAATTCACGTGTCGTTCTCTTCGAGAGTTTTGGCGCCAACTTTTCTTTAAGACTTCATCGACAATTCTATATTCTTATCTTTTTCTTGTTAGCAAATTTTATTGTATATTTTGTAATGATTTATTTTTAGTTTTCCTAATATCTTACTTTACTATTCTTTTCCTCAAAAAAAAGTTTTATCGATTTTTTCTTCAAGCCCATTCAAACGCTCCATAAATAGACTCTAATCTTTATTTCTTATTAATATGATGTCTTTTATTTTTATTTCTATTATTTGTTTTTTTAATTATTTATGTCTATTTATTATACTTTTAATTTTGATTTTTAAAAAAGTTTTCCGCCAGCTATCTTCAATTCCACGTGGGATTAAAGATAAAAGTTAATGTTTTAACATTCTCTCCAGAATGTTCAAATTCCAACGGTCCAAACACGCGAAAATAGCTTTTATGTTTATTCAAGGCGTGGAGATTCGTCCGAGACGTGTCTCTCTCTGTATCGCTAAAATTGATTTCGTCGAGAATGCATTAGTTTTAATATGATGACATTTGGGCATTACGAACGTGATATCAAAGATCGATGCTTGGGTAACAATAACCGCCTTTTGATTTCTTGAAAGTCACGCTATTCCACCGAACGCGTTGACAGGCGCACATGTTTCGCGTACTCCACAAACATATTTTCCACATTTGAGCGAAATTGTGTGCCTAATAAAAAGAAAATAAAAATCGGAGTGTAAATTGAATATAAGAATGACAGAAGAGTAAACAAAGCTTCTAAAAGATGAATAATTGGGTGAAGTGGTTTACACTTTTTTTACATTTCCTTGTCTTAATGTTCCTATTGTACATTAAAAAAAAATTTATTAAATCTTAATATAATTCTTTAAATAGCATTAAGTAAATATTTACTTGCGATAAAGAAATATTTATTCAATAAAAAAATGATAGTTAAATCAAATTAATGATTTTTGCATCAAATAATATGTTTACATTTAGTAAATATTTAATTAGAATTATTCAAATAAATATTTATTAAAATTTAATAATTTTTTTTTAGTGTACAAGCTTTGTTTACGCTTTTATCGCTCTTTCCTTACATTCAACTTACGCTCTAATTTTTATTTTCGCCAGGGTATACATTGCCAGGGTATACATTGCTGAAAATTCTGTTATATGTAACATGAGTAATAAATTTTCAGTATTGGCAGGGTATATCGTATAACATGGCCCAAAAAAATCTTTTCCCCTTTTCCATTACTCTAATATTGTTATTCGGTAAAAATAATTATTTTCTGATTTTTTATCCTCTTCTCTTACCTCCCACTGGGTCTGATTCGTCCACGCGGATCATGTTCCTCGAGCGATTTCACGACGAATCGGCCGCCGTCGGCCGTTGGCTGCCGTTCTCTCGTTTTCCTAGGGAACAGAAAGAAGGAGAGCAACAGTGAACTTTCTCCGCGATTTCTTCCTGTTTCTCTTTCACTTTCTTTCTTTTTCTTATCCTCCTTTGCTCGCAAAAATGAAAATCGCGGAAAAAAAGGAAATTTCGTGTGGATTTTACACTCGCGCGCGATCCCTCGATCGATCCACCGCGAGCTACGGACGATTATGAACTATCTCGATCGCAGCGGCTGTTTCGTGTCGCGCAGACCAAGACGGTGGTCTCTTCTTCTTCCCCGGCTCAGACGGATTTAGATTTTCGGCGGACGCCGTGAATTCTGCTGGTCGATCACGTGGTCCTGTAACCCTCAACGATTTTGAAGTGGGGATAAAATAGCTAATATCACTCTCTTTCCTCTTCTCTCTCTACCTGTTCTTCTCTTCATCCTCTCCAATCATATAGATTCACAATTATTCCCAATCCCGACTGTTGAGATGTAAAGCTCAAGGGTACAATCGTATGCTGATATCAAAATTGTCATACATTAACGAAAGTTACATATCTAGGAGGGAAAAAGAAACGCTATACACAGTTTGAAAAGAAATTGCCTCGAAAATTGTCTCGGAAATTCAAAATGCTGTCTGACCTGTTTAGAGTGTGCCTGAAATAAATCACCAAATCGCCGTTAGTCTCTACGACATTATTATACAGTCGGTCTTCTTATATTTCTTATATCTCGATGTCAATACTATACTTCTTCATGTTATAATGATAAATTCATAAATTTCAATTAATAAAAGTATCTTTTTTTGGACGATTGACTTCAGATTCCTTTTCGATCTGGAAATGATGAAATTCGTATTCTAAATTTCATTGATTTATTATGTATATATATATATAT